GCGAATTTTCAGATTGAAAATTTTTAAATCAGTTTTTCTATTTTTTCTATTTCTACTAACTTATTTTAAAAAAATAACTTCACTTTTTTTGAAAATGAAAGCTGGAACAAATATTACATTCTAATCATTCCTTTATTAAGATGGAAATAACGTAATAGTATTGCAAGTATAGTGTCATTTTAAGATGGCAATAAAATCTTGTGTTTTGGTAATTAATGTCATAACACAGTTAATAAATCATGTTTTTGACAATTAGTGGCATTTGTGTATGGCACTAACTCCATGATACATGTCAATATATGACATTACTCAATACAATATTATAGTGTCATACAATGTCAAAATGACAATGAATCCTCCTATGTTTTAATATAAATGCCATTATGATTATGATGGCATTCAAGTTATAAAGTGGCATTTTAAATCATTTTTCAGATTTGTGGGTGGTGGTGGAGTCACAAGAGGCAAGAGTGATTGAAGCAAGGTGAAATATAATCCGGTGGCCTGGCAACAGTGAATGAGGCGGTCCTGTGCAGGGCCGGTCCTGGGGCATGGGCAGGAGGGGCATGCGCCCAGGGCCCTTTGCTCCAGTAGGGCCCATAAATTTCTCAAATATATATGTGTGTGCGTGTGTGTACATCGATATTTTAATTATATGTACATCCTAAATCTATAAAAGGTAAACAAAAAAATCAAACTTATTTTTTTTAGATACTTCTAATTAGTTATTCAACATCTACACAGTACAAGTCTATAATTTCGAAACATCCACATTAGAATTCATTGGGAACGTATTTCACCAATTCTTTTGAATCATTATGGGTTATTACATTAATTTTAATCTTTTAGTGTACATGTCTTATGTATATCCAGAATTTATTGATATATTTCAGAATTCACAAATTTTCTCCGATTCTTTCATTTAGTGAAATATATATTGAGCTTTAGTGTCCATAATTTCGAAACGTAGAATTTGTTTTTGTCTAGTGAAAATGTAATTTAAAATATGAAAAATTACTCCTTATACAAGATAGAATTTCACAACATTCCTTAATTTAAAATTTTTATTACACCTAATAGTTGCACCGCTTGTTTCACTCGGCTCTTAGGTACATTGTATCCTCAAATGTCACTTATCAAATTCCCTATACATATATATATATATATATATATATAGACACACACACACACAATATTTTCTAACCATATGCTTTGTTAGTTTTTTTATGTGTTATACTAGTATTTGGACGGTAAAATTGTATAATTTTAAATTGTAGATTATTATAGCAAAACGAACATTATAAACGTTCTCGCGCTATCCCCGAGGCCCAATCTATTTGTACTGTCCCGGGCCCATTAAATGTCAGGACCGGGCCTGGTCCTGTGACGCAGGAAACTGGTAACAACGAAGACCGGAGGCACCGGAGACCGGCGGCGCTGGGGAGCGGCGGCAACGGAGATCACTAGTGGCAATATTGGCTCAGGCAGCAGAGGAGATGGCGATGGCATGGATTTTGGCACGGATTAGGCACGGAGCTTTGGCACGGATTTGCCAAAATTCATAGGGTATTTGGCACGGATTTGGCACGGATGCGTCAAATCCGTGCCAAATTCTGTGCCAAAGTCGTTTTGTCACCAGTTATTTGGCACGACGCTGTGCCAAAAATAAGTTACGGTTTGTGCCAAAGTCACCCAATCCGTGTCAAGTCCGTGCCTATTTCGATGTTTTTTGTAGTGGCAGTGATGTTCGACAACGACGGAGACTAGCGGCGGTGATTTCCGACGACGGCGGAGACTGGCGGCAATGACGTTTAGCGGTGGTGGCAGGTTTAGGTAGTGGCAGCTCTAGGCGGTGGTGTTGTTGTCCAATTGTGGCAGGCACAAACAAATGTTGGATATGTTTTTATGTATTATTTTATGTATTATTCTATTTTTTAATTTAATAAACATTTCATTAAGGGTAGTTTTGTCTCCTCATGTTTTTTTACTCATATTCCATCTTACGGGACATAGGACTCCTACTTTTGCACATTAGGGGTTGGTTTGCAACTCCTTTTAAAAAAGAATTTATCAGCTTTTGGCTTTAAAAAATACTTATTTTCTCAAACACTACAACTTTTATTTTTCTCGGCTTCCGCGTTAAAAGTGCTTTTACTTTTTCTATTACACAAAAAGCACTTATTTTACCAAACACTACCCACTTTTACTTTTCAAATTCACTTTTTTCTCAAACACTATCAACTTTTATTTAATCACTTCTCCTCATTTCATTAAAAAAAGCACTTTTTTAAAAGCATAAGCTGTTGCAAACAGACCCTAGGTATGTTTTACTCCTAATCAGGGAATTATCTCTTTATTAAATGGTGTTATACACATTAAGCTAGCGCAATTACGTTGAAGGCTAGCTGATCGATATTGTGTATATACTCCGTATAATCTTTTGCTGTTTGGATTTACGTTTTAAAACTGTTTCTGCTCCTTCAGAAAGGGAAACACATATTGGAGTATTTTGGTGAAAGTACAAAAGTATTTCTGGATGTTCCAAATTACTCCCACAAGCAATTTTTTAGAAATTGAGGGTGACCAGTTTCTGAAAAACTGATTCTCAACAATTATGTGTCTAGCTTTAAAAAAGAAGCAAAAATACTTCAAAACACCTCCTAATTGCATTATTGTGGGCGAGTGTGAAGTCATATTTATAAATTGTTGTGTCTATTGTATAGCCGGGTGTATAGTGCTCACCTTACCAAGTATTTTATATTAAAAGAAATGAGTACAATGTTTAAAAGAAATGAGTATTGGTATCAAATTATAAAGTTAGAGCAATAAATATTTTGATGATAGTACAATAATGATAATATGGTTAAATAAATAAGTTGATTTGTAATATATATATATATATATATATATATATATATATATATATATATATATATATATTATGATATTCAATTGCATGCTTCTAATATTCAATTCTGCTACCAGATTTATACTAGGTCTCTTTATACTAATACAGTTTATGCTCTCTTTATTAAACTAAAAACATTAATGAAACGAAACACATACGAATATATTACTCCGTATTTGGTTACAAATGAAATAGAAATAGAAAAATGTTCAGATTACTAGATTAGCTTAAGACGCTATTTATTTTACAGACTTTTTTTAATTAATTGGTAAATGACAATAACGCATACAAAATCTACTATACGTTGACTGAGGTGGAAAGACCGAAAGCTAGGTCGTAACTCGCAAGTCGCAAGTCGTGATAACTAGGGGTGGGCAAACGGGTCTTGGAACCGCGGTCCGGTTCGGGTAATGGCGGTTCGGGTCCAAAACGGGCCGGTTCCACTTTTTGTTGCAAGAAAACGGTTCGGGTAGGTCCGGGTAATTTATTTTTAAGACCCGGGCCGGTTCCAAAATAAAAAATACCGGGTACCCGGCCCGGCCCGTTATATATACTGTAAAGTAATTTTTTAATACACTGGCCTCTGCCAACTTAGTTTACTGAGCCCATTAGGTTGTGATTAAAACGTCTTGTTTACATTTATAAATAGTTGACTTTGTCCTTAGGTATTACATACTTTGTGTGTTTAGTGATTATGATTTGCACATGCCACATGGGCATTCATCGTCCTACAGTCCAGTAGGGAAAAAATTCATCAAGGACTTGTTTAATTCCAACTTCGTCAATCGGTTGTTCACTAAAAGTATGGAGATTCCTTCAGTTCATGATCCTATTACTTTTCATATTAATAGGATTTAGTAATTGATGACCATATTGTTTGTGAACTTAGATATATAAAGTTACGAAGTATTGAAATTGTCACTAATGTTAGATGTGCACCAGTATGTTGTTATTTTGAAACGTGTCAATGTATTATATTATTTATCATTGATTATTGTTTTTTTTAACTTTGTAAGTTTTTACTATTTTTAAGACATGGAAATAGGAACCGAAAAAACCGATCCGGACCAACCCGTTTTAAACGGGCCGGGTAAGGTCCGGTTCCTAATTTGAAAAATGAAATACCCGAACCGGACCGAACCGTATAATGGAACCGGCGGTTCCAATTTATTTTGCATTACCCGCCCCGACCCGGCCCGTGCCCAGCCCTAGTGATAACCCGCAAGTCTTGCACCCAAACGCGTTATTGCTAAGAAATTAAGGATCAAGTAATCATATGGATCCCCCCCTTCTAGTAAAAAGACTCTTGACAGCCAATAGTTGACACAAATTAAGATCGTGTTTGGTAATATCTTAAATAATTATTTTGCAATCGAAGTGGAGGAGCGTAAAAGATTTATATCGTTTATTTTGATTATTTAATGTAAATTGTAGAGCACATTTTAAACATTTCGCACTGTATCATGCATGTACTCCTTTCATCCCTTTTTATTTAGTCAAACACTATTTTTCAAGTCAAAATTGTTCAACTTTGATTGATTATCATAAAAGTATAAATTTATTAAATTTTAAATAAATATATTAGTTAAAATAATGAACCAGTTTTTTTTACTCCAGAGGCGTGTGGGGGGGGGGGGGGGCTGGGGAGAGTCTGGGGTAATCTAGGCTGAAACTCAGCCCATGGAGTTTCGAACCCGAGACATCTCGTAAGGGAGAGTCGGCGACCAACTGAGCTGGACCGCTTCCTCAAATAATGAACCAAAGTTTATCACCATTGACTAGAAAAGTCAAAAATGACTAAACAAAAATGGACGGGCGGAGGTAGTAAATATTTTACGTTGATGTGGTAAAATACTTTGCATGTTTTTTATAAAGCACAGTAATGTATTTGCATGCAAATTAAAAATAAATTACACATCTAATCAACCAATGTATTTTACGTGCAAAGTGATTTCATTGACTTAAACTTTTTATGCGGTTATTTAGTATGGAAAGATTTAATGTGTAAAAGATAGTCTAACCAAATAAAAGTGGAAATTGAGCTTTCGTTCTCACGTTCTATATAAGCCCATTCCCATTCTTCTAGTAAAATATTTTTCAAACCATCATCAATTACCCGGAAGGCCGCAACAAAGTCAAGATTGAATAGTAATTTTCAAGCATTTTAGTCTTCTTCAAATCGTCCATGCATCCTATTATGTTCACATAAACTTCTTCCATTTCCAAATAAATAATCGCGCAAGCTCCAAACCGTTCAACAATTCGATCAGATCAATAAATGGCAACTTCTTCAATTGGTTTCTCCGGCGGGTTTTCGTCATTCGGAAGCCGGAAATCCCCTAATTCTAGGCCGACAACCTCTTCAAAGAGCTTGGGTTTGGGAGGTTTTTACCATCTTGGCTCTTCTTCACTTCTTAAAACTGGCAAATGTTTTCACAGTGCTTATCACATTGCCACATCTAAGAGGTTAGTAGATTACATTTGTGCATATAATACCTTGTTTTGCATTATTAATACGATATAAAGTATGATCAGTGACAGTAATAGTAATTAAAATACTACTTGCAGAAATTTTGGGGTATGCTTTAGCGCCGGGGCCGGCATTGAATCAGCTGCTGGATCGTTCCCAGATCCTAATACACTGTAAGCTAGCTACCTAGTTAAATTAGTTACAAGAGTAAAAAAACTCAATTCAAAAAGTGGTATTTCTCACCTACGCGTTCCGCCCCCATTGGTGTAGGGTGTAGCCACTGTATGAAATTAGGGTGAGTTAAATAAAAAGAGAGAAAACTGCAATTGAAAGAAAAATTTGGTTAGAAAAGTTATTTCAATCTTATTTATTTGGATAACTGCACAATTTAGTATGCGAAATAAAAAGTTACGTGTTTAATAAAAAATTTGACTAAAAAGGTTAATAAGTCGAAAAACAAAGTCACCCGTCAAGCTCTAAATGTTTAGCAAAGTACAATTTATCATACGAAGTACTATGTATGATAATTGATATGTATGGAGGTCATCATGTGTTTCCTTTTCCTTACTCTATTTATATCAAAATAACTGTTTCGTTTGATTTTTCGCTTAGTTTGGAATAATGTCATAATTTACTTTACACTTCACAAAAGCTAACCCAAAAGTCCAAAACCGGGATAGTTCTCTGAACTGACCTGGTTTGGTAAATATATACTCTCTTTGTATTTTATAACTATTCCATTCTTGTTTGATCATATTTCGAGCGGGAAATAATATATAAGAGCTTTTCTACTATTTAAAAAGTCTCTAAAAGTTTCTAGCTGGATGTTTGACATAACAATATTTAAGAGTTTTTCAAAAAATAAAAGATCTTTTTTAGATGCTACAGGGAGTAGCATTTGAGAAAAGTCTGTGGCTTTTAGCATTAATTAATCCAAACAACTTGTATAACAAATAGAACTAAATCAAACAGTCAGCTTTTGTTAGGATTTAAACACACACAATACGAAAAATATGATTAGATATTATGGATATGTTTGGCACAACTAATTTTTATAAATTAATTTTTTTCAATTTTCATAGATTTTTTTCTAACATAACATATTAAAGGTTTTATCAAAATTGGAGTTGGTTTGGCACAGCTTGACCCCTCGGCCCCTCCGACACGCATGGCCACACTCCGATTCAATTAGAGTATGTTGACACAACTAGATGGAAAGATACTTTTACATACTTTTTAGTTACTGTTAGCTTTTAGTGATTGAAAAGATCTTAAAACTAAAAGGTGTGATAGTTGTTTGGTAGAAAGCTGACTGTTTGATTTAGTTCTGTTTGGTATACAAGTTGTTGGGACTAATTAATGCTAAAAGTCATAGACTTTTCACGTACGGATGCTACTCCATGTACCATCTTAAAACAGATCTTTTATTTTTTGAAAAGCTCTTCAAAATTGTCATGACAAACATAAAACTAGGAATTTTTAGGGTTTTTTTAAATAATAAAGAAGCTAGAAGACAGAGACTTATATCTGCCAAACATAGCTTTAATAGTGTTGAGAGTATAAATCATATAGGTAGCTTAGTTAAGTGGTGGGAAAGTTAGAACATTTAAAACATGCAGTAGCCGTGTGGAGGTTACAACTATATGCTGAACTGGATTTCCAGTGTGCACGGGTACAATGTCTATCAGCATTGGACTGACTGGATCACCGTAATTTACAATCTCCCAATGCGTTGTGGAGTCAGGCGTGAGGAGCTCTTGGGGTGGGATTAACTGTTTTGAAACAGAGTAATTAAATCATACGGAGTCTGCTACACTCACATCAGAAACCCCCTTTATGAGTTTATGGTACTTTATGCTACACTTCGGTCCAATTTTACTCTGCTTTAAACATTTAATTTGCCTATTTGCAGAAAGGGTTGGTTGATTGGGATTCTGATATCTGTGGTTGTACCATTTCTCCGTCACAAATTAGGGTCTCTTTCGCAAATTAAAAGTAAGATTTACTTTTCATTATCTTTTTCAGCAACGTCCATTATATTAAAGTGATCCTCTATCGTACGTAGTAGCTCAAATTTACATTTGAAAAACATAGGATATTGTCTTTGACAGTTTAAAAGCGGATATGTTTTAATCTTGATTACCTTAGGGAGTGTTTGCAATCACTTAAAAAAAAGCACTTCTCAGCTTTTGGCTTAAAAAAACACTTATTTACCAAACACTACTAATTTTTTTTTTCTCGGCTTGCGTGTGAAAAGTGTTTTTCTCCTTTCTATTACACAAAAAACACTTATTTTACCAAACACTATCAACTTTTACTTTTCAAAATCACTTTTTTCTCAAACACTATCAACTTTTCTTACTAATCACTTTTTCCTTACATCTCCAAAAGTGCTTTTTTTTAAGCAGAAGCAGTTGCAAACACTCCCTTAATGTTCTACGTTCCAAAGTCATCATCAAATAATTAAATTTAATTATTACACGTCTTATTGTTTGCTTTTTAATCTTTGGATTTTAATTCTTTGACTTTGTGTGGGTGCATTACAGATTCTATCGAACAGGCGGAAGAAGTGGTCCACCGTTTAGAGAAGGTGGCTGAGGTGGTGGACAAGGTGGCGGAAGATGTAGGTGAGAATCTTCCGGCCGGAAAATTGAAAGATGCGGTGGCGTTGGTGGAACATGCGGCTGAGAAAGCGGATAAGGACGCGGAAAGGTTAGGAGAGCTAATTGATAAGGTGGAAGAAATGGAAGACAGGGTAGAGGACGGCATAGAGTCCTTGGTCGAAATGGCGAGCCACAAATCTCAAGAATATACTCTTAATAAATCTGCGAGTGTGAAAAATTTATAAACAAAAATCAGAAGAAATGAGTACAATAATGCCAAATTTTCTAGTATAATAGTCTCAAATATTAATTATTAACATCTTAATTAAAAAAAGGGTTATGGAAAATTTATGTTTATTTGTAATTTTACTTTCTCACCACCATTTTATTTGTTCTATTTTCTTTTTTGGGTTGTCCCAAAATAGTATGATTTTGAATTCACTATTTATGTAAATTAGTTGCGAAATTAGATTTCTTGTTTCATTGTTTATATTTGATGGTATATCGACCTTCATCTTCTTATGCGCGAGTTACGCTATGTACGCATGAATTACATTTTCTTATGCGCGAATTATATTTGGATTTGCTCAACAAGTTACATTTTGCATACATATAATGATATAAGTACGTTAGATTTCCATCAACGTGAATTACATTTTTTTATGCGCGAATTATATTTAGACTTGTCTCAACAAGTTACATTTTGCATACGTATAAGTATGTTAGATTTCCATCAACGTGATTTACAATTTCCATAACACTAGTTACATCACAAAATAAATCATGCTATCGAAACAAATAAAAAAACATTTGTTTTGGGAAGAAAAAGATTTTTATGGCAATATATATATTTTTGACAACATTTTATGATCTTAATATTAAAAACAAAATATATTCACTATCTACGTAAAGTAATTGAGCAATTAGACTCTTTATTTTCATTGTTTACATTAAAATCAAGGGAAAAATAATTTAAATGTCTCAAACTTTGAAGGAGTGTGAAGTAAGTACTTCAAACTTGTCGTGTAATGTATATTTCTCAATATTTATATAAATAGTCATGTTACCACCATGATCACATGTTTTTTCACAAGTGTAATTTTATGATGTAAAGTACATAATTTGAAATTCAAAAAACACATGTGAGGATGCAATTAAATTTAGATTGTACCATATTAATATTATTTATTTTACAAATGAAATTTTAGAATCTTAACTACATCCAGATAAAGCTTAGATTTGTAATTATTGTATTAAATTTATATTTGTACAAAACATATAATCATGGTGCAAAATAACTTTTTATATAAAGTTTAGAGTATATGTATTACATGTGTGAGTTTATTGTATTTATCTCACACCCTTTTAAGATCAATGTTGATGGAGCTACTGATGACCGTCGGGGAAGATGAGCCTGGGGATGGATTGCAAGAGATTGAGGTGGATGGGAATTTCACACGACTTACTGGTCAGGAAGCATTACAGAGGAACTTGGTGTTCGAGCGGCACTCATATGGGCGAAGAATCAAGAATGGAATCAGATCGCGTTAGAGACAGATATATACACAGCTAATCAGGACAAGGTTAGAGGAAATCTCAGGATTTTCTTATTTAGATACTTTAATTGATGATATTAGACACATTCTTCATAATGAAGCTATGATTGTTTTCTAGTTTTGTATATGATCCGCGAATCGCGTGACGCATAGGCTTGCTAGGGCCGCATATTCAATGCGGATAGTGGTTCTTTTGATGTTATTTTGCCTTGTACTTTATTTGAGTCGTTTGGTGAATTATTGTTTGTGAATTCATATATGGATCGGAGTTTTTTCTTATTTAAAAAAATCTCACACCCCTTCAATGATTAAGGTATTTATATGACTTTCCCCTAAAATCAATGTTTTATTTGTTATACTTCGTATTAGACAAGTTATATTTCGATTTACTTGCGGTTACAGTTCATTACATCTGAGTTACATCACCCTGCTACTGGGAAATGAAAAAAACAAAACAAAAAATTATTTTTCACGCGTGAACAGTACATCCTACACACGTTTTTGTCTCGGGAAATTTCTCGTGATATGACTAAAACATATTGAGTTTCCCTAAATATGACTAGCTATGTTTTTAAACATTCGTATAACTGAAAGGCAAAAATAAAAAGAAAAATTAAATTTGTTCATGCTAAAATGTTTAATGACCAAAACATCCTTATTTTAAACAATACTTTATGTATTTTACACTATTTTCGTCCAATTACAAATATTGCACTTGAAGTTACTGCACAACCACGGGCGGATCCAGAAATGATAGGTGGGGTGGGCTAAGGAGTTAAAAAATTGCTACTACATAGATAAGATTTAGCTTAAGGTTGTTAATCAACTGAAATTTTTCCGAACTACTCAAGTTTGAGCTTAATTTCGAATCCAATTTATTGACCCAAGCTTATTGAGCTTCGAACTTAAACACGAACGAGATTGTTTAAGATTCAGGTATTTACTGAATAATCAGAACTCGAATCTATTAATGAGAATAGTCTGAATGTCTATATTTAAACATGTTTATCTTGCATAAAGATCGAACACGGAAAATCTATTGAGGCAAAATCAAGCTCCATTTCGTAATAGGTTTATATTCATTTCATTGTTTCGGTGTAGCATACTAGTGGTAATTTCATATGTAAAATATTTGCCCATTAACACGCTAAACTTTTGTATTTAAATTAAAATTCCTATGTAATCTTCAATTGTATATAGAATTATAATGTACTAAAAATTACAAGGACTAAAATTATGAATTACGTCTTAAACTAATCCTCGAGCTCGTGAATTCTTATCAAGCTCAAGCTCAAGCATACCCATGCTCGGGCTCGGCTCAGCTCGTTTACACCCCTAGAGACCGGCTTGAATTCGCGATTCCCACATCGATCGAGACCAACGGTCTTCTACAGCTCCATATTGCATCTGCAAAGACGTAGCTTGCTGACAGCTTGGAGGGGAGACCGAGACACCGAGGATGGGCCAGCATGACTACGCTAGCGAATCCATTTGTTCTGCCACGACAGTGAATCCATCTGGTTAGGCTCGGCGGTGCATCCATTTGGTCTGCCCGAACTTGCCAGAACTCCAGAATCATACCTGAGCTTAGGAGAGAATAGAGTCAAGAGGCAGGGATGAAGAAACAGAACAAGAAAAAGAAAAAGAAAAAGAGGTGACAACTCTGGTACCCATTTAAAAACTGAGGTATCGTACCTATCATTCATTTGATTGGTCCAAATCATTATATGTTTTTTGATTTAGATTTAAGTAATTCAATTGCATCATTCTTATTGATTCATTTGGACAAAGGTACGGTACATTTGGGGTACCATAGAATCTACCAAAAGAGAATGGCCATCTGGCAGCCAGGTGTGAAAAGCTACTGCTAACCAGTTGGTAAGGTACTAAAAAGCCTATTTGTATGTTTTTGTATAGTTTATGTGTTCAATTGGAGTTTTTTTTAGTTGGAGGGCTTGATTGACATTTTCAATGTAGTATTTGACACTTTTCTCTTCCAAACACATTTGTGAAGGCTCTTTAGTGACTACGGAGTGACATGTTCCACTCTCTCTCACCTATTGGTTCAAATGAAAAAGTTTTTAATGTGTCAAATTCGCATTTAGGATATTTTTATTTAGATTGTTTTAATTTCAGAACCAGATCAAGAGTCAAGACCAGATCTAAATAAAAACATCCTTGCTTTACTAGCTACCGTACGCTGCACATGAATCTTAAGCTATTACTTCGTGTTGTTGCTTTCATGACAGTAAAATAATTGACCCAAAAAGTGTACCGTAAGAAAATAAACGTGGAAATTGAAATTTCTCACGTACTATATAAAGTACTCTATAACCCTATATTCCTAGCCTCCCACTAAAATATTTTCAAAATCATCATCAACCACCCGGAAGGCCGGAATAAAGTCAAGATTCAATAGTAATTTTCAAGTATTTTAGTCTTCTTCGAATCTTCGTCCATTTCAAAGTAAATAGTTTTGCAAGGTCCAAACCGTTCAATTCGATCAGATCAACAAATGGCAGCTTTCTCGTTTGGTTTCTCCGGCGGTTTTTCTCCTCCCGGTTTTTCGTCCAGCGGAAGCCCTAAATCCGCTAATTCTAGGCTGACAACCTCTTCAGAGAGGTTTCTCAACGTGCATGGTTTGCAGACGTTGGGTTTGGGAGGGTTTTACCATCTTGGCTCTTCTTCACTTCTTAAAACTGGCAAATTGTTTCACAGTGGTTATCACATTGCCTCATTTAAGAGGTTCGTAGATTATATTTGCACTTATATACCTTGTTTGACATTAGTAATAATAGAGGGAAAGTGTTTGGAATAGATTATGTTTTTTACGAGCAAATCATTTTTTTCAGAAGTTACTTTCCTTCCACTTTTGAAAACTGTAGAAATAATTTGGAACATTTGGAAGTATTTCTACATTCTGCCTCAAAGAGTAGAAGTAGTTCTAAGAAATAGATCTAAACATTCTCATATTTTCCCTAGCTCAAATATTACTGAAATATAACTAATGGACAAAAATACTCCTTCAATTCTGTTCATAAAATTCCTCCCGTTTTGACTGGGATCGGAGTTTAAGTAAGCACTGGAAATATACGATTCTGGTTAAGTAAGGATGTTTTGTTTTGGACTGTTTTCAGTCTCGAACCAGATCAGACTAGACCAGACTTTCATAGTTATAAAATACACAGAGATCAGACATTTACCAGATCAGACCAGACGAATATATTTCAATCTAAATGAAAACATCCTAAAAAAACGTAAATGAATGTTAGTCACCCAAAACTTTCTACGAACCAAAATGAATATTATATTTTGGACATCTAAAAAGGTGGAAAGGATCATAGAGGATACATGGCATATTATTATAATTACTATGTATGATCACTATAATAGTATAATTGAGAACTCGTTTGGTAGCACGAAAATCGGTTGTTTTGGCTCACTCTGCTGAAATTTATGAAGTTCTGGCTGAAGTGGCTGCATTGGCTGATTCTGCTGATTTAAAAAAAAATTATTTTTAAAATATATTTTATTAATAAAATAAAGAAAAAAATATATGTAAAAATAGCTAAAATGACAATCTACAGTAAATTCAGCCAATACAGCAAGAAAAGTAACTTCAACCTTACTTTTTCTACTTATTACACAATTCAGCGCGCGGAAGTAAAAATGATGTGTTTGGTGAAAAAGTTAGTTGATAAGCCTGATAAGCCGAAAAATAGTGGTACCAAACGACATCTGAGTATAATAACAATAAAAAAAAGAATATAATCACGATAACTTAAGTTTTTTAAATAGATGTTCACTAAAATTATCATGATAGTCTTTAGAAAAAATTGTCACGATATAACTAATGGACTATTCAATTCTAAAAGTATAACTTTGTTTTTAATTTCCAAAAGTATGACCTAGATCTAAAAAACAGATCTGGAGCAAATCATCCTCATCGACCCGTCACCCCCATTCCAGCCCACTTCATCTGCATCATCCATTCCAGCGCTGCGGAGATGACCATCTTCTTCACAACATCCATTCCAGCGCAGCGGAGATGGCCATCCTCAGAAGTGGAGCTATGGGTTTCATGAACACAATGACACCACAGCAACGAGGGCGGATCCGGAGACGAGACGAAGCTACAGCAACGGAGATGGCGACGAGGCTTCACCGACAGATACGAAATCCACGATGGCAGCGGCATCTTCTTCGTCTACAGTAACTCGCGCCGGATCTCGAAACGACGGCCGGTGCAGACCAAATTCTTCTTCCTCTGCTTTCTTCTTTTACAGAAACTCCATCATATATGGAGTTTCATCGATTTAGGCTTTGCCTCTGCAATTGATTCAATAAGACGGAGATGGTGCATTTAAGGCTTTAGATCTGATATTGGCGGCTAGGGTTGTGTTGAGCTGAGTTACAGGACGAAGTGTGGCGGTGAGCGTTGGTGGCGCGGTGGTGGAATGCGGTTGTAGGGGGCGGTGGTGCCGGCGGAGTCAAATGCCAGGGGGTGGCACTGGGGGTGGTGGCAGTGGCTGGGGGCAGTGACTGGCCGGGGCAGTGACTGGCCAGGGGTGGCGGCAGTCACTGGCGGCGGAGTCACTGTCAATGGCGGTGAGCGGTGGTCACTGAGCGGTGAGCGGTGGTCACAGCGGTAGTCACTGTGACCGGTGGAGTCACTTTAGCCGGAGTCACTTTGACCGGAGTCACTGAGATAGTGACTGACGGTGGGGGCGGCGGCGGTGCCGGCGGCTGCAGTGCCAGTGGCGGCGGCAGCAGCAGTGGTGGTGCTGGGGTTGGCAGTGAGGAGGTATAAAATGTATAAAAGGAATATTCAAATAATAAATATATGCTTAAATCAAAGGAATAAATGACTTTTAATCACATTTTTAGAAAAATTTAAAACAAGTCACTTTTTTATCTTTTTTATTAATTGTAGTAATATTGGAATAAAAAGACCTAGTCTTTAAGTCATATTTTTGTTTATTACATTTATTTTAGTTATATACGTAGTATTTGTTACTATTTCTTGCTAATACTCCTTTTATTCACTAAAACTTTATCAACTTTTTTGTTGTCACTTTCAGGAATAAATTTGTGATTTCTTTGATACACATAATAATCTTATACTCCGTAATTTTTACTTTGTAAAATTCCGTACTATTCAAACTTAACAAATCTTTATATTGAAACTTAAGAAATTTTTATGTTTAACTTTGGACCATTTTTTAAAGAAACCGAAATTTGGAACAACAATGAAACGGAGAAAGTACAGTATAAAGTACGATCACTAATTTTTTTTTGAAAGTTGTACGATCACTAATTTGATCACTAATACGGAGTAGTATAGTGTGCAAATTTTTATTTATTTGATTATTATTATTTTTTGCAGAAATTTTGGAGTATGCTTTAGTGGCGGGGCCGGCATTGAAGCAGCTGCTGGATCTTTTCCAGATCCCAACCCACTGTAAGCTAGCTACGTAGTTAAATTACTACGGAGTACATAGCAGAAAAACTCAACTCAAAAAGGGGTATTGTTACCCGTAGGGATGGAGCCAGGACCCTAGGCCAGCCTGGGCTGATTCAAAGAATATTTTTGGAAAAAAAAATACACACAATTTTATACACTAAAAATAAAGACATTTTTAAAATTTGGACTGGGCCAGGACCAGGTCTGGCCCACCCCTAGCTACGCCACTGGCTACCCACGCGTTCCGCACCCTTTGGCGGGCGTGTTGTCACTTAGTCATATAAGCTCTCGAACTTATATAAAAAAGTGCAAATATAGGAGGCTCTTTCCGGTCGTTATTTGGGGCGGTTCCTGGTAGAATTTTATGATGAAATTTTTTGAGCATCTTATTCTTTAAATCTAGTTTACTCATATCAAACTTCTGCTAAAAATTCAACTGGGAAGGCAGTCAATTGATTTTCTGAAATATACTATGTTGTTTAACTCAACAGTTATCTTCAAAAATTTATTTGACTGCCTTCCCGGTAAATTTTTAGCTTAAATTTGGTATGAGTAAACTAGACTTAATGAATAAAATTCTCAAAAAAAAATCATTAAAAAATTCTACTGGGAACCGCCCCAAATGGCGACATCCGGACAGAGCCTCCTATATAAGGGGTTTTGCACTTCTTATATAAGTTCGAAGACTTATTTGGTAGTTAGATAAAATTACCAGTCACTTAGATAGTATTGTATGAAATTAGGGTGAGTTAGATAAAGAGAAAAAGTTTTTTTTATCACAAGAGAAAGTTACTAAAAGACCCGTTTGATGACATTTAATACGGTCTAAATCCGTTGAGTTTATGAATTTTGGCTGAAGTAATTGGTCTAGTTGATTCTGTTAATCTATAAAAAACTATATTTAAAATATATTTTATTAATAAAATTTAAAAAAATATGAAAATAGCTAGAATTGTCATTTATAGTAAATTCAATCAATTTAGCCATGAACATGACTTCAACTTTACTTATTTTGAATTTACACAATTCAGCGTTGGAATCAAATGTTACCTATTTTATTAATATTGATTAATAAGACTAATAAATCGAAAACAAGGATCATCCAACGAATTCTAAATATTTGCGCCAATCCATTTTGATAAAGAATGAAAGATATGACTCCATTTGAAAATGGGCTCATCTACATAGGGGTGTGCACCAGTCCAAAACCGGACCGAACCGGTTAGGACCGGAACCGGAATCTTAATTTTATAAGGACCGAAGACCGGACCTGAAACTAACCGGTCCAGACCGACCCGGACCTGAATTTTTCGGTCCGATCCGGTTTTGGCCCTAATTGACCCGATTTTTTTTAATTAAAGACATATTATCTTACCGTTGTTTCAAACTATAATATGATGTGCAGATCTGCTAAATAGACTAAATAACTTTTGAATTCATTTAACAATTTTGGCATATAAATTTATTTTAAAAAAACATTTATCAATTGAAATAATTACATATTTATGATTAAAATAAAGATTACAAAAATGTGACTAGTGACTAGTGTAATAATGGAATCATAGTAAATTATATTCAATTTTAACACTTAGGTTACCATGACACTAATTATAGCAACTATTAGTCATTTTTGTGTAAAAAAATTATTTTAATAGAGTTTTTTCAAAAACTCATCATTTGGCATATAAATGTATAATCATCAAAAGTAACAATTAGCCAATTAGTTTCCCAGAAAATAAAAAGTAAATCACATGTCCAAAAATATACTCCGTACTTAGCATGACTTATACTACGTACTCCGTATTATAAACTGCATCCATAGTGATACTTGCAGAGTTGCAGTCCTGCACTCCTGCAAACAAATAACCAAACTAAAAGCAAATTCGGAAAATCAAACCAATATACGGAGTACTTCGTATAGCAGGTTTATGTTGGCGGTGTAGCATCATCTAGTAAGGTAGTAGCTTAGGTTACCATAATTTACTCTGTATATCTTTATCTAAGACCAAAGTAACCCCTAAACATAATAAGCAAGATACTGAACGATGTATATATCTTAAGCAGCAATAATTTAACGGGTCACCGGTCCGGACCGGTTTCTTCAGGGTTTGACCCGGACCGGACCGGAACCCGGAATCTTAAAATTCCAAGGACCGAAACCCGGACCTGTTAATACCGGACCGGTCCATTCCGGTCCGGTTCAGGTCTAAAATACGGTCCGACCCGGTTAGTGCACACCCACGTGATCATATTTTAAGATCTCTGTCTAATCTTATTTTGAGAACTGTCGTGAGGTTTAGGTAGGTCTGGAATTGATTCTGCTTCCGTTTCCATTTAAAAAACAGAAGCATAATCATTTTTCAGAATTGAGTCTCTCCATCTTCTAAAAAATTGCTCTTAGGAGTAATTTTAAGCCCTCAAAAATACTTCTGCACTTTCAGCCAAACACTTTAATATCTTATTCTGCATCCTCAGTTTGAAGAATCGGATCTAAACATCCTTTAGTCTTTTACCATCGTATATAAATACTTTTCCCATTTTTTTAGAATGTAATACTTTTCCCATTTTTTAGAATGTAATACTTTTCCCATTAAAACTCATCTACATTACTCCCATGTTCCATTGGATTTTGCCAACGTTCCCTTTTTATTGTCTCAAAATTTTTGGTCACTTTTCTATTAAAACAACTAATTTGTGGTAATGTTCAATTCTCTTTCCTCTATACAAACCTCAATCACATAATTTTTATTTTTCTTAATCCTCACATATAGTTTGAACTTGACAAAGTCCACCGGGAGACGGAGGTAGTAATAATTTTTATAAACTTTCATAGTGATTTGAGTTTGCGCCCCATTTTAATGTGCAAATTGGACTTTGCACCTCGTTTTTAAAAAACTTTGTTTTTGCACCCCAACCCCATATGAAAAGACAAAAATGTCACTCCATTAACAATTTTGTTGGCTTTCAACATATTACTAGTATTCCACCCGTGCGTTGCACGGGATGAAATGTGCAAGATGATGGGCCTGTTTGGCACTCGGCGGTTAGCGGTATTAGCGGGTAGTAAATATCGGATTTGATCAGCGGATTTGACCAGCGGATTAGTTTGTTGGGTTGCAGAGAGATGTTTGGTGAATTAGCTGTTTGATTGTAGCGGTTAGTAGATAAAAAGACAAAACGGACATTATAAAATTTAATACTACATACTACGTACTACTAATTTATACATACATAATAAATGTTAGTTAGTAAATTTAAAATCAACTAAATAAGAATATGATAATATAAATTACTTTACGAAAAGTGAGCCCCTGTTTCTCAAAACCAATATGCGTAGAAATCAAAATAGAGAAACTAAAAACAAATTGAATTAACTACTGTCCATCAAAAAAACAAATTGAATTAATAAGTGTCCATCATTATTTTTATGCGGAGAAACAATACGGTAGATATCCATCTCGCACAAGAGAAAAATTAGAGAAGCCATAGAACGAATGAAACAGAAAGCTTCAAGTGACTGCAGCGAATCAGATCGAATACGAAGATGAGGGCAACCTGTGGAATTCAATAATCGTTTCAATCTGCCAAAACCTAAACGTTCCAATTTACAGTGTTTTCGTTTTTGGCGGTTTCGTCCAAAACGCTGCTACTAACCTCCGTGTGCCAAACGCAAGAAAAACAACGGTTTCAGTCATGCCAAAAGCCGAAGTTGTCAAACACGCTGAATTGGGGTTGAAACGCCGGTTTCCAAACGAAGCCGATATAAATGTTAACATATAAATGTAAGCATAGATCATATTATTATTTTTATCACGCGAATAAGAGTTCCCACAAACAAATAAAGTATAATACATATTAAAAGTTTAATAAATACACATTTTATAAATTATCGAAAACTTCATCGTAGACAACATTATTTAAACTACGGACTATTTCGTAAGACTCCTAAGACTGTATTGTGATACCTTCGTACAATAAACACATAAGCTGCAATGACATGACACAAGTAGAACTTTGATGCCATAATTTCTACCACTAATCAATTCCTCATTCTCTGTGTATAGACTATCCATTACTCAAGGTTGTAATTTGTGTTTTCAACAACCTATTTGAAGAAAACCCCATATTTTATTTGTATGAAGAAAGTTGGCAAGAATGTTTGTTGAATGTAAATAAATAGACTTACCAAATATAGCTCAAGGTTAATTTTCTTTTTTCATTTATAGTTATGACATACTATATTGCTAATATTGGAACTTCATATTGTCCTTTTAAGTTTTAAATAGCAAAGGCGGTGTTAATTTCCTAAATGTTGTAGTACACATACACAGTTTTCATGTACACAAATGTAATGCCCAAACCCAATGATTTACTTATTTGTAAGGGTATATTTGATGATACCAAAAGATATGTGAAACTATAGCAATATCTACATAGATTGAATTGAAATATGCTCTCAACATTAAAATTCAAAGATTGACTTCGGTGGATCATTACATAATTACATTCAATATAAAAAAAACTCTATCAGCTTAGTCATTGCAAACTTGGTGGAAGCCATCTAACATTTGTAGATGTTTTATAGAATCAAAATAGTATTAGAAGCATATCATAAAATGACACATATGGTAAGCACATCAAACTAAAGGAACTGCCATTTACACACACAAATCTGGAAATACTTTTCGAGTAGATCTTCATTTTATCTACATTATCCCGTCGAGTAAGGATCCTAGTCAACGAATATTTCTAGAAAACAAAACATGAGAAAGGGTCTAGGTTTTCTCATAAAATGCAAAAGTACTGACAGAAAAAGTGAAATAACTTATGTGGTTTACAATGATGTAGTAGTTTTGACAATTCATGTGTAAGAAATTGTAAGCTATGACAAATTATGGAATCATAGGTCAATAATCCTTCAAGATAAACAAATTGGGTTGCCTGAACTATTGCATCCATTCAATCAATTCAATGAAATCTCCTGAAATGCGATGAAA